CCTGAAACAGGAAGTGATGTCACTACAGTCTCAAACATTGACAACATAAATACTGACTGAACCGTTAATAATATATATATAACATTTCATAATAATTTATTTATGGATGCACGATATCAATTATTTTCAGCTGATATGATAACCGATAATTTAACCCCCCCCAGGACATCCGTCAGCAGCGTCTGCACCGCCAGCGCCGGGGGGCGGAGCTTCAGAAGCTCCATCAGACTGTCAGCAGCCTGCAGGCAAAGAGCAACTTCCACAGTGAACAGGTGGACTACTACAGACATTACATCACTTCCTGTCTGGACAACCTGACCACCAGGTACACACACACGGTTTACTTTTAAATATATTTTATAATAGATAAATATGAATATATTTTATAATAAATAAATATATAAATATAAATTGATTTATAATAGATAAATATAAATATCTTTTATAATGTATAAATATATAAATATAAGTATTTATTACTTTGTGTACTTTGTTGTTGTTTTTCCAACAGACTAACCACTTCCTGCAGTGATGACCTCACTCTTATATATTGGTTGATCAATCATTATCGAGAGCAGTAACAAGTTCATGTTCTAACTGTAAAATGTCCTGATTATTGATTATTGGTAACAAAATACACATTTAAGGGAACCTTTAAAATATATAAATATGAATCATAGTTTATAGCTTGTATGATTTAAAGCTCCACCCACCTTCTAACTCCGTCCAATGAGATACTGCCATCAACCAGCTGAAGTCCTGTGATTGGTTCTTTGTGTTTGTCCTGATAAACAAATCAAACTGAACTCTTTGGTTGTTTATGAAGAGTGTGAACTGTTTACTCTCTCACACACTGAGGTTAATGTTGTGATTGGTTGTGTGTTGCAGTAAATCGACCAATAAGAAGGCAGCAGAGAGCAAAGGGAAGAAGAAGCTTCCTGCTGTGAGCTATAGCGCCGCCCGTCTGCAGGAGAAAGGAGTTCTGTTAGAGATTGAAGACCTGCCGACCACACAGTGAGAACATATGTTATAAACTATTGAAGCTAATGATTTACTGTTGCTAACTCCTGTAAAACGTGAACTGAACCGTTCTGAACTGTTCCAGGTTTAAGAACGTCGTGTTTGACATTGTTCCCGGACCCGAGACAGGAAGTTTCAACATCAAAGCGAGATTCCTCGGCGTCGAGATGGAAGAGTTCCTGCTTAAATACCAGGTACAAAGCAGGCTAAATACTGAGCTAAACCAGGGTAATTACTGAGCTAAACCAGGCTAAGTACTGAGCTATCCAGGGTGTGTGTGTGTCCATTATTTATACTGTGTGTGTTGTAGGACCTGCTGCAGCTGCAGTATGAGGGCGTGGCAGTGATGAAGATGTTCGACAAAGCGAAGGTCAACGTCAACCTGCTCATCTTCCTCCTTAACAAGAAGTTCTTCAAGAAATGAACCGAGTAACTTTATATATCACTTTATACTACAGAGTGAGACATCCTCCCAACACTCCTATCTCTGTTTATATATCACTTTATACTACAGAGTGATTGATTGATCGATTGATTAGTTAATTGATTAATCAGTCAGTCAATGTTGCATTGTTACATATTATTATATTACATTTTATCAAGAGAACATAATCATCATACACTCCTATCTCTCACTACAGTATACAGAGTGAGACATCTTCTTTCAACTCTTATCTCTGATTGTTTATCTAACTACATTAGCTGTTAATCAGTGCTGATGCAATACCTGATCAATACCTGTAAATATTTAGTTTTTCTGTCGACATTTAGAGGGAAACTGTTGGATCCTCCAGATGAACTCTCTATGTTTTTACTCTAATAAATGAGTCAAAGTCTTTTATTCTGAAACTTTTTCTTTTTGAAAAAGTAACTCTGATTATTGGTTGATTTTTTGGGGGGTATATCAGAACCACATTGTGATGGACGACGGTCAGGATATCTCCAAACCTGCAGCTCTTGTGGGGTGTTCCCGGTCTGCAGAAGGAACGGAACCAGAGACAGTGTCATGGGTGGCCGAGACTCATTGCTGCAGGTGGGGAGTGAAGGCTGGCCCGTGTGGTGTGATCAGTTACAATAAGTCATACCCAAACACAAACCTATAAATCTTTTTGGCTCCAATTAGGGTGAAGATTAGATTAACCTTGGGGATCAGTTTAAAGGCTAATTGTATGAAACTTGGCCAGGATTTGTTTTTTAAGAAACAGGCAAACAAACCTGTACTTGTATAGAACCTTTCTAGTCTTCCGACCACTCAATGCGCTTTTACCCTCCTGAGACCTGAGCTTTTGTTTGGGGTGCATTTTCAATTTCTCCTAGCTATTTTGGATTAGTAGTAAAAACAAGCATTGTTTTTGAACAATTTGTAGTTTTCACAAAAAATTTGGACAGGACTTTTTTTTATTATAAAACTTTGTCCCTATATGAGGACGCAGGATTGCAGGAGGTTATACTACAGCCAGGTTCACCCTTTCACACATTCACTGAGTGATGGCAACCTCCATCAAACAGAGACTAACTCATACAGACACATTCTAATGTGCTGACAGGAACTAGGAAAAGAGATCACATCTCTCCTGTTCTAGCTTCTCTGCATTGGCTCCCTGTAAAATTTTAGAATAGAATTTAAAATCCTCCTCACCTATTAAAGGCTCTTCCATCGCGTCACCGCCCTTCTATATCTTAAAGAGCTCATGTCGTACCCCTTATTATTCAATTCAATTCAATTCATTTTTATTTGTAATAGGCGCCAATTCGATAACAGCAAGTTATCTCAGGGACACTTTTTCAAATAAAGCAGGTTAGACCGAGACTCCTATAACAATAATAACAATGATGGATTGTATAATAATACATTTTATGTTATAATGCCCTTCTTTCAGTCAGAAGGATCCTCAACAGTGGCTACAGGTTACGAAACAGGAGGGGAAAGCACCAGGTTTTTTGTTTTTTTTTAAAAAAATAAGAAAAAGCGGAGAAAAATGAATTTTTAAAAAGAAAAAAGTAAAAACAATCTAGAGGAAGGGACCAAAAAGCCTTGTGAAAGAAAGAAATGTCTTAAGATCCTTTTTAAAACAGTCAATGGATTGTGGTCCCCCTCAAGGGGTGTCAGGGAGGGCATGTCCACAGAGCGTGGGCGGGCGAGCACAGAAAAAGGGCCCTATCTCCCGGATGGTCTCTGAGTCTGGTTCGTGGGTATGTGGTGAGGAGGGTTTGAGTGAGGGTGGAGCGGTGGAGGGAGCGTGTTGTGTTCTTTTGGGTTGGCTTCTTGAGCTGGTTTAGGGGGGCCATGTCCAGGACTTGCATTGGATGGGTGAGGAGAAAACCTTGGTTACTCCAATCCTTGGTGGAGGTGATGGGAAGGCCCAGCTTGGACGTGAGTGGAGGAATGGGGGTAATGGCTGCTCATGTTTTCCGCACTTGCCTAGCTGCCAGAGTTGTTGGATGCTACTGAAGCCTCTCGCGCAAGACTCTGTGCCAGGACATTACCAACGTGAGCAAGTGCGGCTTACAGGTAGCTCCAGGGTCTGGAGGAAGACAAAGGGCTATGAACCAACTTTTCGGCATGCTGAGAAGGAGAGAATGGGGCCGGAGTTTGGGAAATGTTTGACGGCAGGGTCTGGTGAGGGAGATTGGAGGTCTTGCATTAGCGTGATTGGTATTATGGGGGCTTCAAAAGTGAGGTTGGGAGTTCGCATTGTTTACACCAAGATTGGCTGACTTATTGATGGAGTGGGGGATGTTTGGAGGCCAGAACAAGGTGGGGAATGCCTGGTTATGGCATGAGATGATCTGTTGTCTGGTGGTGGCCAACCAGTATGGCTTCGGCTTTTGGGAGCTGCTTTAGTTGAAAGGAAGTTGTGCTCCATTCCGCGATACCTTTATCTCCTCAGACACGGTGGTGAGTTAGATGGGGGTTGACTGAGGGATGGGGTTGCAGTTGTGCATTTAACATAGAGTTTGGTTGTGTCATCGCGCATTAGCAGGTGAATGGAATTTTGGTGACGGGCCTGTTGATTTGGCCGGGCAGGGGGGTGAAGGTTAGAAAGGATAAAGAGGATGGGGCCAGAGGGACTGACCCCTGGTGGCGACACGCAAGGTGACTGCTGTGTCGTGAAGTTTGATTGTGGGGAGGTGGCCCGCAGGGAATGTATTCTGGTCCGGGTTTTGTGACGGCTTATGGATGTTGAACCAACTGAGGGTTCAGTGTCCATTTGGCAGTCCAGTGGTGAGGTGGAGCCGGTTTAAACAGGAATGCCATTTTCGTCGACAGTGATTCAAATGCCAGCAGAAAAGCCGTCCAGGAGGATGAGGAGGAGGGGAGAAGCCAGATGTTGCGGAGGTGATATTGAGGAGGGCTCGTTTGCTAAACTCTGGACGAGGGCCAGTCTCTGTGCTGTGGGGCAGAGCGGAAACCTGACTTGGAATGTGTTTCAAAGGAGGGTTATTACTGTGTTCGCACGGTTGGTCCTTAAGGTGGGTCGGCAACTGGCTTATCTCAAGCTGACTTCTGATATTGAAGGGGAGATTTCGAGAGCGGGGCCTGCTAGTCTGCGACAGGCGACTTCCGGATCAAGAGGTGGGTTTTTTTGAGCAATGGCCCTGGATTATGGCCATTTTTTCGAAGGACACGGGCGGGGAACGTGAGCCAGTTTGGAGGGAATGATTTATAACAGCGCGTGGATCAGGGGACTTTAGGACAGTGATACTGGGTTTTTACCAGGGAGGTGGGTGAGAGGCGTCCAGGGGACAGCGTGGGAGGGATTTCATCTCTTCCTTGATTGGATGTTCTTAGCACCTCTTCTGATGATGACCTCGAGGAAAGCCGATTCTTTAGGGAGTTGGGCAGGACGGTATATGTTGGTGGGAAACAGTTAGGGTGGAGGACAGGAAAGGGCAGAGGCGAATATGGTGCAATTGTTTGATGTGAAAAAAATCCAGATTTATTGCCCACTTGCTTTCTTCTGTAGTTGGCAGTAGCGGAGGTGGGGGGGATTGTGGTTTTGAGAAGGTGGCCGTTACAGCTGGAGAAAAAGCTGCTTGGATTTCCTGGCGGCTGTTTCTTGATGGCCATCGAGTAAAAACTTTGTGACCTTGCCTCTTTGAGGGAGCTGTGCACTATTTTTGTTTGTTGCTCCCCGGGGTAAATTTGTTTGTGGATTCTCAGGTGAGGCCAGGGAAGGCTTTTGAAGCGGCCGGCCGTCGGAAGGAGACGCGCGCCCTTGCCTGCTTGATATTACCGCAAGCGGGCCATCGTGTGAACCAGGGAGCTGCAGGCGGGGTGAAAGGTGGCTGTTCTTTGCTTTTACAGGGGGCGATGAAGGTCCAAGGAGGCTGGCTCAGGATGGCTGTTGTAGTACGTCCACTGCTCGTCGGCTGGATGAAAAGGTGGTGTGGAAAGATGGCTTTGACAAGTCTGGCTGGGCCCAAAGAAGTTCTGGTGTATGTTTTTGTAGGTTTCTGAAGAGATATGCCGCTTAGGCCTTGGAGGAGGCTGGCGGATGGGGATGCAACAGTCCATAGAAATGGCCTTGTGGATCAGACAGCACCTAGGTCGATACACCTGCAGTGTGGTTTGGTGAGAGGCCAGAGTTTGATATGGACCAGTCCGGAAGGTATGCCCCCTGGTGTGTGTGGGGAACATCAACAAATTGTTTGAAATTAAAGGCGAGGTCCCAAGTGAGGTTGAAATTGCAGCTGCAAAACGGCAGGAGGGGGTGTCGAACTGTTGGGATGTTCATGTGCACCTATAAAATTATG